CTCAGTTCTTCCCTGTGTGTCTCTGGTGCCCCTCGAGCTGCCTCCCCTCCAAGCTTAGAGGGAGAGAGTCCGATAAGTCCGTGCGCGGGCCCTTTAGGGAGCTGCCTGGGGCTCCAGCCGCTTCAGCTTCCCTGAGCCTCAGTTCCCGCTGGTTTTTCCAGCCAGAAGTGATGGGGACTTCTCTTCCTGGCACTGGAACCCTGAGCAGGGCACCTGGTGTGGGACGGGGACCCCTCAGTCCTCAGGGAGGACCTTCCCAGCTGAGGTGTCCTCCTGATTTTATCCGCCACACGTGGGTGTGGGACCAGCCCGTCACATCGCAGCCGCCTCCGCCACCACCCCTCCTACCAGTCTGGATGTGGCTGCTGCTTTAATTCCGTAGTTGTAGGACTTCCATTCAGCCTGATTTCAGGCGGTTTTGAATGATGATTGTTCTGTAGTTTAGTTGTAACTTTGATGTGGTTGTGAGAGGATGTGATACCACATTTACCTACGCCACCATCTTACCGGAAGTCTGTGTTCTCTTTGAACTGGATTTTATTTCATATTGTATAGAATTTTCTTTTTAAGCAAAACTATTGAGTGTCCATGATGAAAATATGACTTTTTAATTTAAAAAAATTGAAATATTAGTGTGCTTGTCTCAAAGTATTTCAAACAAATACTTTAAAAAAATTCTCCTGAAACTAAACTATGATAAATTTAAAATGTTTGACTTTAAGTTTAAAAAATATTTAAAATTGTGACATTGGCTGAATTGCACTTAGAAGCCTGACTATATACATTATTTAAATTCAATTATTTAAAACTATACCATTCTAAATTGTTATCAAATATGTGTATTGTTAATGTTATTAAATGTGACACTCTTGAATAATTAAAAACTAATAACAAAAAAATAAAAAAAGGAAATTGCCAAGGGGCAAACCAAAAAAACTAAGAAGATGAATAAAATAGGAGAGAATTTATGAAACTAAACACATCAGAATTAAAAAAAATACGTAATGGCATATAAATATTAATATTATAGATCAAGATTCAGAAAATAAATATAGTCATATAGGACCTTAACTTAAGATTAATAAAGGAGCCCTGGCCGGTTTGGCTCAGCGGTTAGAGCGTCCGCCTGCGGTCCGGAGAGACCCGGGTTCAGTTCCCGCTAAGGGCATGTACCTCGGTTGCAGTTTGTCCCCGGCCCTGGTTGGTTGTGCGGGTGGCAGCCACTCGATGTGTCCCTTTCACATCGATGTTTCCCTCTCTCTCTCTTCCTCTCTCTCCCTCCCACTCTGTCTGTACAAAAAATGGAAAAATGTCCTCGAATGAGGATTAAAAAAAAAAAAAAAAAGATTAATAAAGGAGAACTGTTAGAGTGTGGTAGCAATTAAACACATGAAATTTGTCTAGATTTTTTAAAATGTCCAAAGGTATTCAAAAATATTAATCAGTTATCAGCCTACAAAACAAAACCCAACCTTTTTACTCTCTACTCTCCCTTAAACATAGAAATGTTAACATTTTCTGACAGTACTATTATATAGATAAATGGAATAAAACATGTACATGTGCACTTGCGTATATTCTTAATTTAAGTATCTTTTATATTTCAATAAATACTTGATTAAAATCTTTGTTGACTGACATTTTGTTGAATGAATACTATAATCATTTCTTGAATTCTATTTATAATTCTTTAAAGACAATGTTTGGAGATATACTAAATCTATAAATATTTGAGATTATATTTACATTATTTACAATCTTACATTATTTCTGATCTCTTATTCAAATCTTCCATTTATGTCTTAGTTAAATCTTCTAAATTTAAATAGATCATTTCTAGGCTAAACTTATTTGCATGTATTTTTCTGTTTCATTTTCTTTTTGTATGCTTAGAAAATAATGTTCTATTTTATTTTTATATGAATTGTCAGGATTTTACTAGTGAAGTCATCTAATGTATTTATGTGTTGCTCAGCAACATTGAGAATGTGATTTACATGCAGATCTTCCTTTGTGATGTAGTGCATATTTGACTTTGGTGTCTGTTCCACTTGTGCTAGAATTAGTCTCTCATTTGGAAGACCAGAATATATGTAATTTCATAGGGGGAGAGTAATTTGCTTAAGATATGTGTAGTTTTGACCTATTGCCAACATTTGTAGTTCATAGTTTTTTACCTATTGCCAATATGCTCTAATGTAAAGAAAACATCATAAGTATTTTCAAACATACATACACACAATTGTTTATCAATATAGAAAGTGAAATAGTGTATCCATGGTTCTCAACTAAGGTAATTTTTGACCCCTCCTGGAACATTTGTCAATGTCTGAAGACACTTTTGGTAGTCACAGTTGGGGTGGTGCTACTGGCATCTTGTGGGTAGAGACCAGGATGCTGCCAGAAGCCTACAATTAAAAAAAAAAAATGTCCAACCCAAAATGCCAGTGCATCTGAGATTGAGAAACCCTGTAGTGCACAATTGGAAACATCTTAAACTTGAAGAGAAGGGAAATTATTAAGGAGTCAAAATCAAAATAATTGAGTCTCTTAAATAATCATAATAGAGAAAAATTTTAATATGAGAAGATGACAAGTATTTGTTTCTTACTGGGAAATTATTACAGAAGAGTATGTTCCATGTGTTTCTCACAAAATATGTAAAACTTCAAAGTTGTAAAACAAAATGTTGACAATGGCTCTTTTAAAAAGCTTTTTGGGTGATTTCCAAGTTTCTGCATAGATTGTGACTCTCTTGAATATTTTTAATGTTACTTTAAAATGTTCCTTTCCGCCAGTCCCATGGACTGAGAGATCCTGGTTCCATTCCTAGTCAGGGCACGTGCCAAGGTTGCTGGCTTGATCTCCAGTAGGGGGCATGCAGGAGGCAGCCAATCGATGTTTCTCATTCACATTGATGTTTCTATCTCTTTTCCTTCTTCTCTCTCTCAAAAAATCAATAAAAACATTTAAAATAAATAAATAAAAATGTTCCTTTTCAAAGTGGTTTTCTGACGCCTGAGATTTATTTACCGTAAAAGCTTTATCTACTTTGAATAAAATTATGGTAAAATGGAAATTCTCTTTATGCCTGTATGTGTATGACATTTACATCTTAGTTTGTGTGGTAACACTGAAAGTGAGTTTTCTTTGAAAAGAGAATAGAGAACATTGAAGGGCTTTGGTAAAGATGCTAAAATAAAGCATTCATTTAACCAAGAAAAAAAATTGAGATATAAAAATTAATGAATATAAATTATATAAATAGTTATTAAAGCTACACAACTCTAAAAATCCTGTTACCTTGGTAATTATCCCTTCCCCCATTCTATTTAATGAGAGGTATGAGGTTATCTGAGACCAGATGCTGCTTGTTAGGAAAACCTAACCTGGCCAATTTGGCTCAGCAGTTGAGCGTCGGCCTGTGGACCAGAGAGTCCCGGATTTGGTTCCAGTCTCTATGTGGCTGCTGCTTTAACTCTGTAGTTGTAGGACTTCCATTCAGCTTGATTTCATGCAGTTTTGGATGATGGTTGTTCTGTAGTTTATTTGTAACTTTGATGTGGTTGTGGGAGGACGCCATACCGCATTTACCTACACCACCATCTTGACTGGAAGCCAAAAAAATGTCTTGCCTTTTCTCTTTTTAATTCTGTAAATGTATGCTTGATTATTTGGTGCATAAATTTTAAAGGTTTGTTGTGATGCTGAAATGACAAAATAATCATAAAGTGCTTAGCACAGTGCAGGGAGTATTATAAAGTCTCAATAAATATTAGATTTTTTTTAAAATTTAAATGTTTGGACAATATATTGATTTAAGTGATTGTTTCTGCCTCCTCCTTTAGAATGTAAATTACAAGAATCACACAAGCTTTGAGTTTCTGCCTACTGTTACATTTTCTTAGTGTCTAGAAGAAAGTTTAGTATATTTAGACTCTCAGTGAAATACTTATTGAATAAATGAATGAATGGATGCCATCACTGTGAAATATGCTAAATAAAGAGATTATTTCTAAGAGCCTTTCATGTCAACAGTAGTCAATATAACCTATATTCATGAATGGAATAACTTAAAAACACAGCAACAATTTTGTGAGATAATATTTGTGAAATGTTCTTTACTCGGTTGAGTTTAAATTTTAATTAAAAGATAAAATATATTGAAAATATGGCAAAATGGTTTCTAATACCCACTTTAACACAAAGCACCAATTATTCAGTGTCTGTGGAATTGAGCTACAATTCACTGCCCTTTTGTATTGTAATGTGAAGTGTGCCCTGCCTAGATTAACACAACATAAACTATGTTGATATTGAAAAAGATGAAGAAATCCAATTTTTGTTTCTGTGTGCTTTGTTTCTTAGAGACGTGTGTTTGGTACTTCTACAATTCAGGTTAATAAATGCAAAACAGTCTCAGGAGGACAAGTAAAATCCATGAACTGCTTTTATTTGCATTTTAACAAATTGTAGGTAGGCATTTAGGATGGAAACATATTCTCTAGGCTAGCTAAGTTTTACACATATAAGTGGAGGGGGTCTCTCTGAAGATTTTTAAAATTTCATCAAAGGGCATTAAAGGGGGGACTTTTATTTTATTTTACTTTTTTTTTTTTTAAATCCTCACCTGAGGATATTTTTCTATTTATCTTCATTCAGATAGAGTGGAAAGGAGAGAGAAGGAGAGAAAGGGAGAAAGAAACATCGACGTGAGAGGAACACATCGATTGATTGCCTCCAGCACGACTCTGACCAGGGCCGGGTATGTCCAACAACCAAGGGTGCCTTTGACCAGAATCAAACCTGAGACTCTTTGGTCTGCGGGCCGACGCTCTGCCTCTGAGCCAAACCGGCCTGGGACACTGGGGCACTTTTAAATCTTTATGTAATGAAAGGAAAGAAAATTATTCTTCCAACAAAGCAGCCAATATATACCTCATCCTGAAGCAGGTAATCTAAAATATACGTAACAGAAACAATATTAGGGCTTGGTAGATATGCTAAGTGTAGTGGAAGGCCTCCTCATTTTTATAGCCGTTGGTGAATCAGTACTGGGGGTTTTAGGGAATGGGTTTATTGGACTTGTCAACTGTATTGACTGTGTCAAGAACAAGAAGTTTTCTGTACTTGGCTTAATTCTTACTGGCTTAGCTACTTCAAGAATTTTTCTGATATGGATAATAATTACAGATGGATTTATAAAGATATTCTCTCCACAAATGTATTTCTCTGGAAACCTAATCGAATGCATTAGTTACGCATGGTTAATTATCAGTCACTTAAGTATCTGGTTTGCCACCAGCCTCAGCATCTTCTATTTTCTGAAGATAGCCAATTTTTCCCACCACATGTTTCTCTGGTTGAAGCATAGAATCAATAGAGTACTTCCTTTTCTGATGGGATTGATGGTTATTTCATGGTTAGTTATTTTCCCACAAGTTGTGAGGATTATTAATGATTATAAAATGAATGCTAGAAACACAACCTGGCAGCTCACCATACCTAAAAGTGAATACTTTACTTACCAAATTTTGCTCAATCTGGGACTCATTTTCCTCTTTACACTGTTCCTGATCACATGCATCTTGTTAATCATTTCTCTTTGGAGACACAACAGGCACATGCAATCGAATGCGGTAGGTGTCAGAGACCCCAGCACAGAAGCACATGTGAAAGCAATGAAAGTTTTGATATCTTTTATCATCCTCTTTATCTTGCACGTTATAGGCATTGCTATAGAAATAGCACACTTTACTGTGCCAGAAAATAAATTACTGTTAATTTTTGGTGTGACCATCACAGACCTTTATCCCTGCGGTCACTCATTTATCCTAATTCTAGGAAACAGCAAGCTAAAGCAAGGTTTTTTGAAGGTGCTCCAGCCTTTAAAGTGCTGTGGGAAAGAGAAACCTCTCAGAATTCCTTTGACAGGCTTGGGGAGAAATGGATGCTCTATGAGAGTAATCCAGTGAAGAAACGCCTGAAAATGTTTCGCTTGCACCACATTCTTGCACTGGTTGTAACTGTGTTATAGACCATCACTGAAGTCTTCCATAATTATTTTAATGACATCTCAGGAAATTTTGTTCTTCAAGGAGATTGTAAGTAACCCCCATGCAACTTCTGTGGCTCAGACAGCTTCCCTACCCTGCAACTTCTTCTCACACATCTCCTAGAGGAAAAACCAGCTTGGAGACGATTCACTGTAAAGAGGATGGTAGTGGGACTAAGCATCTAAAACCTGACTCTTTATTGTGCTTTACGCAACTTCCCTGAAGCACCAGCACCCTTTCACCAAGAAGACCCGAAGGAAAAGAAACAACAATAAAGTGATTATCAATCTTGACATTTGGAGCATGGACATGAGAGACAGAGACATGGGTGCTTCTTTTGAGTTTGCAATTTTAATTCTTTAAAAGGTTAGTTTTATTTTCATTGTTTAATCCTAATGTCTTTTTTTTTTTTTTTTTTTACTGATGTGTGTTTAATATAGTAGCAGTAGTCATGCCAGCAGGTGTAGTTCTGTTAAAATAGCTCAGGAAGCAGAGTCTCCTTGGGGTTAAGTTCAGAGCACTGATAAAATCAGGCTTTATAGTCTTCAAATCCACTGATTTGATGTGAAGCAAAATCATGAACTAATTAAAGTTCAGTAAAGAATCTGCTAGAAGTACAGATCCAAAGGACTCCACATGGTCACTGAGTTATGCCAAGGACACGTACTGACACAGGGTAGAATCAGTGTGAAAGATGAACTGTTCTGATTTAGGATTTTTTTTTTTTTACAAACACATATATATTCATATACACAAACTTTAACTCATGGACATATTTCAAATTCTGATTTTTAAAGTGAATATTTGTATTCAACCCAGGATGTGAACTGAGTGATTTATCTTGGCAACTTGCAAACGTTCATTGCCTTATCCTTACAGCCTGATACCTGGAAGTTTTCTAAATATACAGGCTTAACTCATTTAATGAATATTTTTGAACACTAACTCTGTTATGCGTCAGGAATATAATACTAAACAAGATCTCAGCATAATGGATAAGGTATTTTAGTAGAAAAACAAACAAATAGGAAACAATAAGTTAATTATATTTGGTTTGGGGAGTGAAGAACAAAAGGATGCTAAGCAAATAAACCGACTTGGTACTGGGAGAAGAGATAATGTCACTGAGGTTGGGATAGTTTAGTTTGAGATCTGAAAAACTGCATAAGAGCATGGTGGGAAGAACAAGAGAGATTTGGGGTGGGAGAGCATTTGTGTAGGTCTTGAGGCAAGAAGGAGTATACAGCATTCCAGGAACCGAGAAGTCCAGTATGACTAACTATACAGGAAGTGAAGTGTTTTCAATGATTCTAAGGGAAATTCCAATAAAGAAAAATTTCATAAATTCCTTCCAGAATTGATAAAGTGCCCTTCAGAAATAGTAAACTAATATTTCAGTAGTGAAAAAATATCCATCCCCTTCCAAACCTAAAACCATACAAAGTTATTATATTTAATGTCATTGGTTTTTTAAAAATTGTTTTTAATCCTCACCTGAGGATATTTTTCCATTGTTTTGTGTGTGTGTGTGTGTGTGTTTTTAAGATAGAGTGGAAAGAAGGGAGGGAGAGAGAGAGAGAAACATCAATGTGAGAGAGACACATTGATTGGTTGCCTCCTGCACAACCCCTACAGGGACAGGGGATTGAACCTGCAACCCAGGTACATGTCCTTGACTGGGAATCGAATCTGAGACTAATTCTAGGGCTGATGCTCTAACTGCTGAGCCAAACTGACCAGGACTAACGTCATTGCTTTGATTGCAAAAACATCTTTTTAATTTTTATGTATTTTATTACTAGTGAGTTTAGGCATTTTACAGAATTAGTAACAAATGGTGTAAATTTCTGGAAATTATTCATTTGTTTTCCTTTTATTTTTTCATGCCTATAGTTCTTCTTACCAATTACATAATACTTTATATATTAACATCATGCTACATATGTGTTATGATCTTTACCTTAATTTGCTGTTTTTAAATTATTTAGTTCATAGTGTTTGGGGAAATAAGGTGGTAATTTATATAAACTCAGATCTATATATTTCCCTTTATGATTTCTTCTACTGCTATGTTTGCAAATATTGGCTTAGTTTTATTGTTACATGTTACTTTTATCAATAACTCCATTTTTTTCTGATAAAATAATATAGTTTATTGTACCTAAAATTAAAAAACACAGAAAGGTTTGAAGGAGAAATTATGTATATTTGTGACATGCAACTAACTGTTAACATGTTTCTATATTGATTTCAAGATAAATTTCAAAATAGATATAGGTAGTTCTGTTGCTTAAAAAGCTGTTGTGATTACATTTATATGTAAGCTGAATAGTTAGGTCACTTATCTGTGGACAGTAACATTTCAGATTTTTCTTTTCTTTTAATTTTCTGTGAATTTCTAAATGTTCTATAAATTGTGCAATAATTAATGTAATCAGGGAAATGTAATTACATAAAAGACAAGATACATGAGTAGAACTGTTTGGTTAACTTTCCTTGAAAAAGGAGAAAAAGAGACTTCCTTAGCATTTTCATAAACTGTATAATTACTAACTCTGATGTCTGCTGGTTTAATGTCTAAGTTTATTTAGTTTATTATTTGTGCTGACTTGATTATGACTCCTGGTTGTCATGTATTTTGTGATTCTATTTTGAACTCAGTTTCATTAAATTTTATCTGTGGAAGTTCTTTGAGGTTAAGTTTATAGCGTACTTTGCCAAAAAGGATTTAACATTGCTTGTGATGCTGACTGGGGAACCCAGCAGTCTTGGACTTCTTTAAATTAAATTTTCAGTCTGTAATTTTACTACAAATATAGTAAAGGCTACATAAGTAGTACAAATTCTGGTCCCAAATATACAGGTGTGCAAGGTTATTATTAGAAATTCTCAGAACAATAAATCTTTCTTTCCTTCCTTCAATTTAGTCTCATGATTGAGAGGTAAGTACCCCAAATATTTTAACCTTTTGCTGGGCATATATTATTTTCTTGTTGCCCTTTAAGGAACTGACTTTCAGGGATCATTTTTTTGGTCACCAGATGCAGAATTTCTTTTGTTATAAAGACCAAGTATGATTTCAGTAGGCTACCCATCTATTCCATTCTTTTTTTTTTTTTTTTTAATTTGATAGAAAGGTGATAGCTAGCTAGCTAGCTAGCTAGATAGAATAATTTGTTGTTCTACTTACTTATGCATTTATTGGTTCTTGTATGTATCGCTCTCCGGGACCAAACCCTCAAACTTGGCATATGGGGACGATGCTGTAACCAACTGAGCTTCTCAAACCAACTGAGCTACGCTACCAGGCCAGGGACCATATTTTCATTCTTCTCTCTCTTTTTTTTTTTTTAATTCCTCACCCGAGAGGATATTTTACTAAGTATTATCAGATAGAGTGGGAGGGAAGGAGAGAGAAACAGAGAAACATCGATGTGTTAGAGCGACATCAACTGGCTGCCGCCGGTATGACCCAACCAGGGCGGGCTGGGGGGGGGGACAAACTGCAATAGAGGTGCGTGCCCTTGACTCTCTCATTCTTAAACATACTGTGATCAATTAGACACCACCAAAACTACTTGAGTGTCAAAGAATTCTAATCCCTACTGGGTCCTTTGCTGTCCGATATACTATTTGTGTCCATTTTGCATCTCTTGCTTAGGCATTGATACTTCAGGACTGCATCATCTTCATCACATCTGGGAAGCTTATCTCAAGCATCTACAACTATCATATGTTCTGTTGAGAAGACAGATTCTACAGAGCTTGTTAAAGATATTGATCATTCTCGCCCTGGCCGGTTTGGCTCAGCGGTTAGAGCCTCGGCCTGCGGTCCGGAGAGACTCGGGTTCGGTTCCGCTAAGGGCATGTACTTCGGTTGCAGTTTGTCCCCGGCCCTGGTTGGTCGTGCGGGTGGCAGCCACTCGATGTGTCCCTTCACGTCGATGTTTCTCTCTCTCTCTCTCCCTCCCACTCTATCTGTACAAAAAATGGAAAAAAATATATATATTAAAAAAAAAAAGAAATAGCCATACCTCTCACAGTCCTTTCAGTCACTATTAATACAATAAGGATCAAGAGCAAAAGATACTTGATCCATAAATATATAATAAAAATTATAATTTAAATAAAGGTGGCATCTCAAATTGGGGGGTGGGCAAGATAAATTAGCAAATTGGAATAAGTAGATAGCTATCTATAGCAAAATAAAGTTGGATCTATACTTATTATACATATATACAGTATATACAAAATTAAGTTTTTAAAAAAGCAAACCATGAGAACAATAACAAAAATACAGGAAGAGTTAGTGGAAAAGACTTTTCTAACTATAATTCAAAACCCAGACATCATAAAAGACTGGTAATTATAATTATATAAAATTTCATTAATTCTGTTTGTGTTTAGAAAATACAAGAAAAGGCTGAAGTCAAATAACACACTGGGCAAATGTTGTTAATTCACAAGATAGAAAAAGTGCCCATCTTTCTAATATATAAAGACCCCCTAGAAATTAAAAAAAAAGTAAAAAAAAAAATGAGCAAAGAATATGTACAATTCACAAAAAATAAATTTAAATGGCTCTTAAATATATGAAAAGATCCTTTACTCCTAATGCCATGTAATGGGTGGGATTCTTTGTCTCCAGTTTCTATACTCAGTGTTCATTATTGCCAATATTCTTAAAATACATGTGCAGATGATGCTGGGCATTTGCTTGAGGTCATCACCTCAATTTCTTTTCCTCTAGAAGGGCAGCTCCTCCAGTTAAAGCAAAATCTAAAAGACTCCAGCTTATATTCTAAGTTGGTGGCATATTAAAACCAGTGCAAGAGAATTCCAGTATAGGTTACTCTATTGGTTTATGCATTTAGATGCTATGAGCTTTAAATCATGAAACTTCAAAACAAGTATACAAATAATAAAAATCTGATCAAACATATATTTGTGTTTGAAATGGGTTTCTATTATTATAAGAACATTATAAAGAGCTTTTATAATTCATATTTTAACCATAATAGGTTACATATAAATACAGATTCTGAGGTCAAACTGAGCAATAATGGGCACAACTAGAGCTCAGTCTTCCACATTACAGGATGATAGAGGAAGAGGTTGAATAGTTGTCTTCTTAAGAAAATTAAAAACCACTACTACCTTACCTAAGTGATCCTAATTAATAAAGTCAACCCATTACTTTCAGGCTAAAGTTATTGTTAACTGGCTACACTTTAAATTCAAAGTTGTGTGTAAGCTCCAAAAACTGCATTTGTACAAAATGGTCTACAATTTGGGGCTACCTTCTAAGTCCTTAGAGATGGTAATGGTGTCACGTCTCCAAATTAATTTTAGCCATATTTTCCAAGTAATTGATTTCTTCTTGAAGTTTCTAATCAATGTCTTATTTAGACTAATGAATCAAAAACATGCCAAGCTTAAAATGAGAAACATTGTGCAAATCCAAGAAATCAGATTCATTTCTATTTGTATCTTAGAGCCTTCCAATCATCACTTCACATAAAGAAATTACTGGCTTCTATCAGTGAATTCTTAGGCAGTTCTGACCCAGAGCAGAACTGTCTCTCTTCTTGACCTGTATCACAGCTGAAAAAGAAGACAGATAAGGACAATTTTAGCATGTCTTAAGTGGCAAACACATAAACAATTCTGCACTGTTCAGCTGAAAGCCAATCATCAGTGATCTCCAAAATCATAACTCTCTGCTGACATACCAAGTACAATGGAGGTAATACCATTGTAATTAAGTAGTTATTAAGAATAGGAAAGAAACAAAGGGAAGACCAGACATTCTAGGCATGTCATTTGGGTAACTTCACCAAGAAGCTACAACTTTACACTCCCCAGGGGTCCAACAAAGGGAAGATAGACCCATGCCCAATAAAGTTGGGGGGGACTAGCTAAGGTGCTTGCTGTCAATCACACCTGGGGACAGAGATGGTTGGCCAGAATGGGTGTGGCCACTGCAAGCCCACGAAGATTTGGGATACTTAGCCCCCTGAACAAAGGAGTTCCCTTGTGCTCTTGGGCTCTCTTGGTTCCTCGTGGCACACTTGGCTCATGGCTCATGCCGGCTTCCTGGCATTCTCCCATGTGGCCCACAGCCATACAGACCCCCACACACAATGGACTAATGGACAGTACTAGCCTGATGCTGAACTCGACCCAGCTGCCATAACGAAAGGAAACTCTGGACACTGGCTTCATTTTTAGCTTTACTGAAACCCCAGCTACACTTCTACTGTGACTGGACTAAAAAAAATGAGACTTTGGAAACCCAGGGATTTAATTGCACATAAATAAAAACCACAAGTTCTCCCATGTGAGTCTCAGAAAATTCTTTTTCTTGTGATATCCTAAGAAGTCTACCCCTGGTAGCACCTGGTGAGGAAAAGGACCCCACACGTTGTCCAGTATCAGAGGCCATATCTTGATTGCTGGTGAATTGACAATAGGAATCTGAAAAATGGATTTATTGTACTGGTTAACTGCTCTGGTTGGCTCAAAAGGAATGTTGTCTCCTTGACTGACATCATCCTGATCAGTCGAGCCCTCTCCAAAGTCTGTATCTTGTATGTGATGTTTTTAGATGGTTTTGCTATGCTGCTCTCTGCAGATACATATGCCCATGGTGAGCTAATGAGCACTTTAGATGTTTTCTGGACAATTAGCAATCATTTAAGTATCTGGTTTACCTTTTCACTCAGCATCTTTCATTTGCTCAGGATAGCCAATACATCCCACCCAATTTTCCTTTAGCTGAAGCTAAAGATTAACAGGGTCTTCCTTGGGATTCTTCTGATTTCTTTTCTCATCTCTTTAATTATTGGTGTTTAATTGAATGAGGACTCCTGGTATCACTTTAAGGTCAATCATGAAGAAAATATAACTTGGGAATTCAAAGTGAATAGCATCCCAAATGCTTTCAAACAGGTTACCCTGAATCTGGGGGCTATAGCCCCCTTTATTTTCTGCCTGATCTTGTTACTTTTCTCCCTCTTTAAACACATCAGGTAGATGAAACTGGACGCCACAGGGTCCAGGGACTCCAGCACAGGGGCCCACATGAGGGCCTTAAAGGTAGTGATCGCCTTTTTGCTGCTTTTGATTATGTTCTATGCAGTCTTCTCGTAACCTCTAGCTTTCTGATTCCTCAGGGAAGTTTTGTGATGATGTTTGGCGGCATCATAACTGTCATTTTTTCATCGAGCTATTCACTCATCCTGATAATGGGGAACAGCAAGCTGAGGGAGGCTTTTCTGAAGGTGCTAAGGATTGTGAAAGGTTTCCACAATATGGAAATCTTTTGTTCCGTAGAGAATCATGACTACAAGGGGAAAGAAGTCAACCAAGACTCTCTCCCTTCTCCCAATTGATTGCGTTCATTTTTTATTATATGCTATGGGAAATAATTAATCTCTATCATTATTCTATTGTTTTATTTGTGTTCCTTCACATTTTGTCTAATTTGTTTAATTTTGTCACATTTGTTTAATTTTGAATCCGTCGTCACTGAACAACTGAACCTGAATCCCATGCCAACATCCCTAAATGCAACAAGGTTCTACTTCTTTCTGCCGTGTACTGGCAAAGGCTTTCACCTCAATGAATAGAAGAATTTCAGGCCAACAGGCTACGGAAAAGAGGTTTTTTTCTTCTTCCAAAGTATATAATATATATTGAACAGCACATAAGACACCACTTGAGCTTCCCTTGTAGCCAACAGGAACTATTTTGACATATAAAAATTAAAAATTTTAACTTCTAAATCGTTAATATTTTTTAAACATTATACGGACTTAAAAATTGTTCAACATTAACCCATGACCCCATCCCTAGCAGAAAAAAACCCACCCCAAATCCAGAAGTCACAGTTTTTTGTTCCTAATAACCCCACAGCACTGAGTTGATCTTCACTTCCAGCTGATCGCTAACCAGAGGTCCCTAACAGACAGCCCCAGGAATGGAAGCACTGTGTCTCTTATCTACCTGGGCAGCACTGGTGCACCTCTGAGGTCATGTCCATGAGATTCGGCCCCCAAACTAGGGTCCTGGAAGGGTGAGCTGGAAGCTTCCCCCATCTCTCCCCTCGAAGGCTATCCAATAAACACCTGGGAATTGACTTTTCTTGGGAAAAGGTGCTGGTAACACCTGTCAGAGCCAAGGCAATAGTGAGAAGTTCAGTTCTCTGCTCTTTGTATGAACTGTGTAAAACATTTCTTTTAAAGACACAATGTTAAAAATATTATAAATGTCTACAAAAGCTAGAGGGCTGTCTTTTTCTCTAAGGGTAAAAACTTGTGGGGTGGTAGGAAAAAATTGAGATCCCAGAACTATAACTCTGCAGCAAAAGATAGATAGGTGCCCTTCAAACACGTCACATTTTTAAGAGGTCTTACTAATGTAGCAAGAGCTGAGGGTGACTGTATGAGTAACAGTAGGAGGGGCACCAACACCTGCAGGGGAGGTTCCTACTGGGCACCCCACTCTGCACAAGAATGTTATGGGAAAGAGATTTTAAACACACCAGCACTTCCTATAAAACCAATCATGTAAAAACAACAACAACAACAACAACAACAACTGCCTACTTTGTCTGAACTGTAAAATAATCCTTAATTTTCTGCCCTGTTATCACCCTTGTTTCTGGAATGGGTTGTCCTTATCAGGATGGGGAGGAGGGGCACTTTGGGAGAGATTATGCCCAGGGTGAAATATAACATGGGAAAAGAGGTGTGATCCAAAGAATGAGGGTTTGACAAGGAAAGAGGGAGGTTGCACAGTGAGGAATATGTATACCAGAACGACCTTGAGAAAAAAGTAAACCCTAGGTAAATCCTAGCTGGTGATGTTAGTTTTAGGCGTCAATTCTCAACCATTCTTTAAATGTTCTTTCTGCCCTTCTAGACTTAAGGATCTTTCATGTGTTTTTTTCCTTAGCATAATTCTCTCTTGTATTTTGTCTCAGTTAATATTTTACAGATAACGATTTTTTAAATTATTAACTTTATGCTTTTCTATTACACACCGTACATATGTAAGAAATAGGGGAACTACTACATATGATGTTTTCAGTGCAGAAATACTTAAATCCAAGAAGAGGAACTCCCATTTGTGTGATTTGCAAACCTATATTCAAATTTATTGTGGTCTAAGTCATGTTTCCCAAACAAGAATTAATTGAATAGTAGAATCAGTCCTATTTCCTAGAAATATAGTTTGGTTAAAAAGAAAACATTTTTTAAAGTGATTGCCCATCTAGAGAAATGACTACAATGCAGAATGTGAGATTATAAATCTTATAAAATGAGTTAATTGTAACTAGAATAAATTAAAATGTGAATTTCTTAATTTTATTTTATTTTAATTTTTTTTCATTTATCTTCAGTTAGAGCGGGAGGGAGAGAGAGAGGGGAAGAGAGAGAGAGAAATATAGATGTGAGAGAGACACATCAAGTGGTTGCCACCCACACGACCTCAACCAGGGCCGGGGACAAACTGCAACCGAGGTACGTGCCCTTAGCAGGAGCAAACCCAGGCCTCTTTGGTCCGTGGGCTGACGCTCTAACTGCTGAGCCAAACCGGTCAGGGCGAATTTCTTAATTTTAAATGAAAATGTTTATTATCCAAGAGACATTGCAGAAAGTAAATTGTCATGTATAGCATTTTCCATATTAAATAAAACTAAAGTTAACAAATCTTTATCTGGCATTGTTCACTTCCAATAGAGAGAGTAAATTCTTAGTAAATGTTGCTATGTGCCTGCCTAACTAATAACACTATGCCATTTGTAATTAGGTTTGTATTATATCCTTCCCTAATTAACCATTCATATGAAAACAAAAATTATCATCTTAGTGAAAGTTAGTTAACTCTCTACAATCTGATTATGCTGATTGTTTTCAAAACTAAAATCTATTTTCACTAGGAGACCTGACTTGTGGAATATTTATAAATTGTAATGATGAAAATAAGGTTTCATTTATACATTTTGGTTTTTAATAAACATGTTTTTATTCGTTTTTTTCTTGCTTCTGATTTGAAAATCAGTTTGACAGGTCCAAATATGCAGAACTTAACAGGGTGATGCCAGTTTCAAATTCATGAAATATGATCTCTTTTCATTTGTATAAGAGCAGTTTTAACCAGACATTTCTGTTATCACTCACTAAAGCGTGATACTTATAATTTTTTCAGCCTACAAATCTAGTCAAGATATGTGTTTGGAGTAATCAATTTGTTCAATTATTTCATGAATGTAGAAGTGATCTTATTTCAAAGGAGAGCTGGACACTTCTGGAATGATATCAAGGTCAAAATAATGACAAATGAAAACGTTCCATGATTTGAAGAATTTATTTATTATGCTACAACTGGTCATCTGTAAATTCACCCATCTGGAGTGATATTTGAGATCAGTGTGTTCTCTCTATCAACATGCTTAGTACAGTCTTTATGATCATAATACCTGGAGAATCCATAATAGAAATTTTGGGACATGGATACATTGGACTAGTAAACTGGATTGGCTGGATTAAAAAGAAAAAGATCTCTTCAGTTAACTACATCCTCACCAGTTTAGGTATCTCCAAAATTTGTTTGCTCTGTGTAATGGTGCTAAGTGGCATCACACTGATATTCTACCCAGAGGCTTATCAAAAGGATAAACTAAAAATACTTAATATCTTCTGGACACTCACCAACTACTTAAATATGTGGTTTGCCTCAATGTCTTCTATTTCCTTAAGCTCGCTGATTTCTCCCACCCACTTTTTCTCTGGCTGAAGTGAAGAATAACAGGGTGGTTCTTCTGACCTAAAGAATTGACAGAGACTTCTGGTCAAGATGACAGCGTAGGAAAACATGGTACTCGCCTCCTCTCACAACCACATCAAAATTACAACTAAACACAGAACAACCATCATTCAGAACTGCCTAAAATCAAACTGAATGGGAGTCTTACGACTATGAAATCAAAGAAGAAGCCACATGGAGACTGGTAGGACAGGCGGAGGCTCAGATGGACTGGTCCCACCCCCACATGTGGCAGATAAAAATCAGGAGGGCCACCTCAGTTGTGAAGTCCTCCCTGAGGAGTGAGGGGTTTCCATCCCACACCAGGCCCGCAGTTCAGGGTTCCAGTGCCAAGGAAATAAGTCCCCAGAAATACTGGCTGTAAAAGCCAATGGGAATTGAGGCTAAGGGAGGCTGGACTTACTCAGACTCACTCCCTCAAGGCTCCAGGCCAGAGTAGGTAGCCTGAAAGTCACCAGAGACATACAGGGAAGAACTGAGTTGTTTGGCATTGGAGTGAGAACTAGAGAAGTAGCTTTCTCCTGGACAGATGTGCTGGTGGAGGCCATTGTTCCTATGGTGAGCCCTTTATCCACTGGGCCAGCAGATGGGTGTCAGCAGATGGACCCCAGCAAACTGGCTCACACTGTTTGCCCCACCCTGGTGATTCCCTGAGGCCCTGTCACACCCATCTTTCAGATCTCCACAAACTGTTTCCTGTGGCTTTACCATAGGATTGGCCTGTCTCAGCTCTGGCTTCAGAGTTTCCTAAATTCTCTCAATCAAACAGCATCTGATCTCAGCGAGCCCTATGCCTCTCACTAAGTGGCCCCACGCCCAGCACTAGGAGCAGCTAGCCTTCGTTCACAGCTTGGATTTGCCTGGGCACCTCCAAGCTCAGCACAAGGAGCAGCCATCTGCAGATCACTTTGTAGCTTATGCCTGGTGGCCCCAGGTAGAACACAGGCAGTGCCTGACCTTGTCCCAGAGCCAGCACACCCAGTGAACAGCTTCAGACCACATTGAAGCACCATCACCCAACCATCTCCACAAGTGACACACTCAATGAGTGGACTCAGTGGGTGCCAGAACCCTGCTGAAGTAAGTCTTGCTCTGTGTGGTGGGCCCCTGCACAGCTGATTCTCTAAGGAAGTCAGAGGTCAGTGGTCAGTGGACACAGCCAGTCCTTTCAGCTGATCAGCCTGAGTAAATCTCTCTCATTAACATGCCAACAGTAATCAAGACTCAATTACAACAGAAGGGTATACAGTCTATATGAGGGGTGCAACAGAAGGGTATACAGCCGGGTGATCAGGGAGGCTGTGCCACTGGACCCTACAGGCACCTACAACAATAGGCCACCCTATGAAGTCTAGGAGACATAGTAACTCTACCTAATACATAGAAACAATCACGGGGAAGCAGCCAAAATGAGGAGACGAAGAAACATGCCCCAAATGAAAGAAAAAAACAAAACTCCAGGAAAAGAACTAAACAAAATGGAGATAAGCAATCAATCAGATGCAGAGTTCAAAATATTGGTTATAAGATTGCTCAAGGAACTTAGTGAGACCTTCAAGGA